TTATTTTTTCCATTCTTTGGTCAGTCTAGTTTTTAAGTGCTCAAAACTCGCAAACTGTTCTCCTCGTGGTTTTTCCTTTAAAATCTCCCACACGTTCTCAATCGGCCAGACATCGGCAAACATTGCTGATAAAAAATAATTCGTTCTGCACTTGGTACGCTGTTTTGTGTTACGCACATCATATGTTCATATATTTTATCCAATTCATCCCAGTCACTGAGCGTATAGCTTGGTTGAACATGTGATCAATTATTCATGACTGGCGTTGAATAAATGATTAAGATAAATAGTTACTGGTCCTGTCCCACTGTTATTTATGTAAGATAAATATAGTACTTTATTTGAAAATCTTTAAAAAAATTGTGTTGGTCGATTTGAAAAAATTTATCTCAACATTCTCATTCGTATATCTTTATTATTACAAAATGAGATCTCATCTAATCATACATCATTTGAAAGGCCGTCAGGAGTACTCAAACTTTATATAAATACCTTTGGTCCGAGATCACTTTTTGTTTGCATATGTATTAATTTTTGGCAAGCCTCAAAACTTATGAAACACCCTGTATGTAAGTAACTTCATAATACATGAAAAAAATGTGATGCAAATTTTAGTTTTATAAATCTGAAATTTTTAACTTTATATTATGTACAGTCATCAACAGCGCAGATGACAAAACGTTAACATATATGTATAGAAAAAGTCTACAAAAGAAAAACAAAAAAAAGGAATAATTGATTATGAAACAGAAACTATATCCTGTACTATAACAACAAATATATAATCATGAATTGACTAATAATCATAATTTGGTCATACTTATAATAATAATCATATTTTCATAATAATCAAATTTAAAAATATATTAATCATAAAAACATAATTATTATCTTATAACATATAATTGCCATAAGAAAATAATTAACTAAAGTCTTAATGTATCTCATCATATTGATGTTAATGTTTATCTGAAGCCTGATTGAATTTAAAGTAATTCCATACGAAACTAAAATTTATGTTACATTTTTTTGTTCTTTATTTTTTTTCATGCATTATTAGGTTAAAAGTAATGGAGACCAGAATTTCGACCCACGGAATTTTCGGCCCGGACTTTCGGCCCATCCTTAGAATGATCTCATTGACCCCTAAAAAACAATTTAATTTTTTTAATTAATTGCTAGATATCGTAGTGCTGAGCAGGACGACCTGGTGCTGAGCAGGACGGTGTGGCGTTCAGTGTTATGGCGCAATGTTGAGCAGAATGTCATGGGTGTGGGTGTAGGTGTAAGCTTGTGGGGTGCTAGTGTTGGTGTAGACGTATGTGGTATGTTCGTATCTTTTTTGCGTTGATCGGCGTCCACAACTATGCCCACGCCCATGTCGTCCTGCTCAGCAACACGTCTTCATGCTCAGCACCACGTCGTCCTGCTCAGCACCACGTCGTCCTGCTCAGCACCACGTCGTCCTGCTCAGCACTAGGATATCTAGCAATTAATCAAAAAAATTAAATTGGTTTTTAGGGGTCAATGAGGTCATTCTAAGGATGGGCCGAAAATTCCGTGGGCCGAAATTCATGTAACCCAAAAGTAATTAAGAATGATATAGTAAAAATATTTTTTTGTTACGATACTTTTTCACTTCGATTACGAATTTCCATCGTTAGGTGTTATTTTCCAAATGTACTCTTACCACCTTCTTTTAATATTTGATTATCTATTTTTAAAATTAATCAATAATATATTGCTTGAAATATGATGGCATCATGGAACAGTACCCACCATGCAGAAATTGGAAAATCAACAGCTATTGAGTTGATATTCACGGGAATTCACGACAAGTCTGCAATGAGAATAGATTGAATCATAGTGACACAATTCTATTGAAGGAATGAGAAAGATTGGCACATCAAATTTCAATTCAGGAACTCCAAGAAGCAGTGAATTCTACTTGATTTTCTTGAGTTATTTGAGTTTCGAAGCATTCAAGAAATTTTCCAATGAGGTGACTTGAAATACTGCCATACACAACCCTAATGACGAAGTTACAAATACTGTCACATATAATTCCGATGTGGATGTTTCCCAATACTGAATGCTATTTGATTTACTTGAATTTCCAATTTCGATGGCGGTCGATATATTTTTTATTTCTGCATAATTCAGCAAAGGCTACACGGCTAACATACTTAAATGTTGACCGGATAAAACCGATGTCAGTTTGAGAAATGTTACATGAAAATAAAGATAATTTATTTTCATGGCATATTTATTTAATATCAGCGAACCCTATCGTCTTATTTAGTTATTGCAACAGAAGCATCCAATCATTTTTATATGTTGCTATTGGAAACACTAAACAAAAATATCTAAGCCAAATAAAAAATAAAATAAAAGATTTACGTATATTAAAATGCTTTAATTAATCTTTATTTCAACGTGGTATTTATTTGTTGGTCAGCACCAACCAAATAATTGATTTGTTACAATCAGCATTCAGCATTGTATGAATCTTATTAACGTCCAAGCAAGAAGAAGAATTTCTACTTTCTACACATTTTATCGAAATTAAAAAGCTTGCTGAACATGACGTATTTTCTGACAAATGGACGCCAGGCGTCAAAACGTTTCTTGTTCGAAAGAAACCTGAGCCATAGCTTAAAATCATTTGTTTTCTTAGCTCCCAACAAGGTTACATGGTCAACATTCATTCATGCTACATGGTTGATTCTTATGCTCGTAGGCAAAACAAAAGTGTGCTTATTTATTTTAACCACGCCAATCATCAAATATTAACATGCTTTTACTTGCGCTACAGGTTTCAAGAAAGAAACCATCTATTATTGACAAACATAGTTAAGTTTTCATACAATATGTAGAACCAGTCATACTTGCTTTGGTAAAGTCAGGAGAACAAACATGATGAAACCCATTCATCATAGGTATAACCGTCAAAATTTTACATACTGTAAAACCTTTTTTTGTAATGCTTTTTCTTTTATTTTATGTTGTTTTTTGATAAAGAATACATGTTGAATATATAAAGTTATTTAAAAAAATTCTATTCTTATAAGCAACTAATCGGCACGTGATTTCATTATTTTAATGTTGTATGGAAGACCAATATCAATCATTATTGTTTGTATTATTTCTAAAAGTGATTTCTGTGATACATTTTTTTCAAACTACTGGCATTATTATCGTATCAATTCGAAATACCTTCTTATATGGTTAATTTTTATAAAGTCTAATTTCAACGCTTTTGATCATATGCTTCTACTAGATAGAGAAGATATTGATCATGATAATGATGAATAGGATTACTGTTTGAACATTTTCTTATGTGAGTTTTTCATATATTATTATTTTAAAAGCATCAAATGATATACCAGATAGATTTATCGGTACGTTAACTATGTGTAATAATTCATTGAAATGTCTGCTCAATAATTTGTAGTCAACATTCTTTCATTCATCAAGTATTAAATCAAATTTCTTTATTCAAAACTGATAATCTCTCAAGAAAATCAAATACAAATTTCAAGCAATGCTGGCAATATTCTATAATGAATATTATGATTTCCATTACACAGGATACAATAAGAGAACGCAGATGTGAGTCCACAAAACTATGGATCTACAGTTTTGTCTAGGTAAGTATCAACTAGTATTAAAGAATTTTTAATACAAGCTTTTTGAAACCGATAGTATTAATTGTTTTGAATGATTGACAGTCAAGTGCTGCAAATTCAATACAAACAATTTTAATTTCATCCTTAAATTGATCTAAAATATCTCATTCAGTTTTTCAAGATGCATAAAATTGAATGATATTTGTTTGAGCATTGGAAACTGTCGTTTTTCTATTTTGACAACTACAAATATGCTTAGATAGTGAATAAATAAGTAAATCTTCATATTGATTCCATAGAAGATATTCGTGTTTTGATCATATGTCGATAAATACAACGAAGACTATTTCATACAAATGAAGATTTTACTGTTACTGTTAGTTTGACAAATTTTGTTTATCAATTAATTATTTAATTTCTTTTTCTATTAACATCATGTTCATTTCAACTAAATGAAAACTTTTAATTTATTAAGCATCAAGCGATGAGAAAATGAAGAATATGAAATAACGGTACGTTGACTTTTTTTCTAAGTTGAATCAATAAATAATTAAAACCTTGATGTTTCATTGTGTTCAAGTACACAAAAGGTGCCAGATATTGGTGGAAAAAAAAACTCAGGCCTGGATATAGCAGGTTACGCGTCGAAAGTTTTATTTTCTGTCGAATCCGAGTCGTCCAGGTTCACATTTTTATGGATCCAATGCTTCCTAGATATAATACACCTTTTATCTATTGTTTTTTTTTCTCGAAAGGATTGATCATTCTCATGTATATGTACTGAACCATTTTTTTCTGAATATAGTCAAAATTTATGCATGAGAATTAATTCGTGTTCTATTTAGACTTCGTTCAATAATTTTATCTAAATGATTAAATACCGTTATTTTTCTTTTTTGATATTCTATAAGAAACATCAAATATTATTTCTTTCATAATTGACCTGAACATGTTTAAAAATGATTATATTCTTAATTTTATTCATCATCGTTTATTTAAAATATGTACATTAACACATGCTTAACAAATATTAGAATATATAATAGATAAATTATCTGATCAATCGATCAAATATTTTATATCTATTTACTTACTAATCAAAAGAATCTTCACATTCAAGTAGATACTTGATTATATATGATTAAAGTTATAAAAACTGTTTGGAAATGAAATAGAAATAATGTCCAACAAAAAAAAGGTAATAAAATTTTCGACGAGTATTGTCAAAAAGCAAAAGTCGACGTTAATTGTCGGTTGCTTAATTTCGAACAAAAAACATTCATTAAAACAGCAAAAAAATCAAACAAATAAATGTGGAATAAAAAAAATAATGAAATCTTTCTTTATTTACTGTTCGTTTTTTATCTATGATTATAACCATGCTTTTAATATTAATGAATTACCATCTTTAGTTTTCACACATATTCGTTGATTTGTATTTAATGTATGCATCCAAGTAGGAATTGAAAAACAATCTTGTTTTATTGGTAAAGTAATTTCAAAATAACGAAGATGAATAAATCCTTGTGAAAAAAATTCAAATTTTTCACATTGACGGAAATCATCAGTTGCTCGATTTGATGTATTTTTTATTAATAAATAAAATTCATTAACATTTGGAAAATATTGAGTTATATTGGATAAATTTTTTATCTGAATTGAATCAATTGTTATTTTTAATCGAGTAATTGATAGAATAGATTTTGGACAATTCTCAATAGTTAATGTTTTACAAAGTGAATTTTTTATTGAAAGTGATATTACTTGTGGTAAATAATCAAGTAATTGACAACAGGAAAGTAGTGAATAATTACAAAGTGATAGTGAACGTAAATGATTTGAACAAATGATTATTGTTGGAGGTAAAAGAAGTACTGTATCAAGTTTAAGATAAGTTAAAGATGGAAATTTAGTAAAAAGATTTGTTATGGATAATTTTGGAGAATAATTATCAGTACTGGAATGTACAATAAGACTTTGAATATTTAGATGTGACGGGGAAGATTTCATTGAAAATTCATGATCGATAACATCTACTGATGTCGATAAATGAGAACTCGTATTAGGTAAACTATAAATCGATACATGTTTCGAAGCCGTAGAAAAATATTGAATTGTTATGTTCTTTTGTAACCAATATGCACTGGAAAACGTTGTTTTTAGTATAGAATTGAAATCAATATCTAAATAAAATGTTTCAAAAATCCTTTTTATTAAATAAAGCGTTACTTAAGGAGTATAAAACCGAAAAAAAAAGGTTTTCATAAAATTTTGGGAACCGGAATACTGAGCACGGATACTTAAGAGATTTCTTTTTCAAGATTTCTGAAGAATGGCTCATCCGAAATATTTGAAATAGTTCGGCTAGATAGATATCAATGAGTCGAGCACAAGTTATCATAGATTCCAAATCCTCCCGTCTAGGAAATATATAGGTCACAAGGGCTAAAATCACTCCATTTTCACAGCCGCAATAAGTCCAATAGAGCTGAAGCTTTTTGTTTTCTACAGATACTAAACATTGTTTGGTATGGCTGCTTTTCTTTTATTTCTTCTTATCTCATCCCATTTGAATAAAAAGATCAAAACACTAAGCATACCTCTAAAACTACATGCCTATTTTGTAAAATCTGCCAAAAACTAACGATGTGAAATTTTTGAAAAGGAAAAAATATAGGCCGCGAAACAATGTCCAATAGCTTTAGAAAAAAAAATAGTTTCAGCTCGATTGAACATATTGTGTCGGCAAACAGCAGTGATTCTATACTTTTTTTTTAATGTAATAATTGATTTCTAGAAAAAACGAAAAGCAAATATTTCTATATGTATCAGAACTTTTTCTTCTATATTGGAATGAGATATAATCATTATCATTGAGAGAATTTCGCATACAAAGAATAATCGTAGCACAAATTTTTCTCTTCTAAATTTTGAGAGTTCGAGTTTATAAAAGCATTAATTAACAACGAAAAACTCTCATTGTTATGGCATTTGACAGATGACACTTCGAAATTATATAAGTGATGAAAAACCAACGATCGAAAAATGTTTAATTTTAACATCCGGAAAGAGCATTACGTTAATCACGAGAACATTCAGCACAGAAAATTTAAGCATGCAAAACAGATAAAGGTATATATGACATCTATTGAAAGATTAATGAATGTATGCAAGTGTGAATATTAGTCTTCTCTTCATTTCCATACGCACATTCAAATCCATTAGCCACACGCTTTGCCATTACTTTTTTTTGCGTGATTAGCTTTCTGGTGCTAAAACTTCCGTATTCATCGTTCATCAATCCGGAAATTTTATACCAAATTAAATCTTATTCCATTCTTAAATAATGGTTTATGAGTAATTTTTGAGATAGATTTTTAGAAATATTCTGTGGAACCGCAATAATAACTAAACTATGTAACATTTTGTTCTTGTAAAGAACATCATATCAAACACAAAATGATGAATGAAAGAAAAAGTTTAAGATAATTTCCAAGAAACAACAAGACAGCATAAATCATTGTTTTTTGTACTATTCGTTTCAAACAGTCAAACGCAGATGAATCATTCTTCTTCCCCATGCATCGAATTGCTTGGAATGAATAGAACGAAAGAAACCTTTTTCTTTTGATTAGCTTGTGTCTGATGACGCAGTTTACAAGCACGAAGTCAATACATGTATTGACCGAAATAATCAATGAAAATTTTAGATAGTTTAGTACGCTCATGATTTCATTATTCAATTTCATACTATTGAGAAATACTAATAATATAAAATCATACCTGATGTTATTTTTATGTTCTTAGCTCAATTTTAAAACTCTTATCCGCTTTTTTTAAAGGAGAAATGGATATTGCGCATAAAAATTAACTTATGTTTTTTTTTGTCTACGTGTGTATAGTCATTAGTAAATATGTCAATCATTATCTTTATTTATAAGACAAAAAAAAGCATTGTATCTCTCTCTCTCTCTTATGCACTGATTCTTGGTATGTCATAGCATTTGTATTTCATAGAATTTAATAATTTTTCTAATGCAAAAACATAAAAAATTGTTCTAATTAATATTTAACTAATAAATTTCATTTTCAACATACTAAAATTCAGTTCAATTTTCATTATTAATTTTATTTATAAATATAAATTCACTTCTCACGAATAGTATTTTTTCCCAATTCTCTATATATGAAAGAACAATTCTAAGCACAATAAATCTTTTCTAGTCTCTCAAAATATCATAGAATTGATAAATTTATGATACTTTTATTTACAAAAACAACATAAAATGGAATATGATAGTAACAGATCTAATAATGTTTAAAAATTAAAAATGAGTTAATCTTACCTTCATTCTTCTCTACAGTATATGCATCAAATTCCACCTTTCTTTTAAAACGATCACTTGTAATTCCATCAAGTTCAATATTTAATTCAAAATGTATAGTTCGATTATCATTTCGTTCTAATGCTTGTTGCCATAATGAACCATTAGCATATGGAAAATATTTATTGATATATATATCTTTTGTTGTTAATAATTGAAGTGTAGAATGAAATCCAATATCTAATATAAATTTAAAATGTATTAATGAATAAAGATTTTCAATTATTTTCATAATTATATTATGTGATATAACATTATCATTTGATGTTAAATCTTTTCCTTTAATTGTTAGATTAAAATGAGTTAAACAAGGTACTTTCCACCAAAGATGTTCATAAGGATATATATCATTATTTATATCGTATAGTGAAGAACAACCAATAGTTATATTTAATTTTTCAATATTTGGAAAATGATTAAATACAACTAATAAATCATTAAGACATTTTACCGATAAAGTTAATTGTCGAATATTCTTACATTTATATGTTACAGAACGAAGATTAAATTCATATCTGTTTAAATTTAATTTTAAATTTTGAAATGAATTTGATGGAGAAAATAATTTTCCACAAATAAATTCATCAAATTGTACAGGCATTGATGATAAACGATCTTCGGCAATATCAATAATTAATTGACGTAAAAAATACATTGTATTAAAACGCCAAGATAAATTTTCCAATGTTTCAATATCAATTTGATGAAATATAAGTTCACGAAGTAATGGAAATTGTTGATCAATTTTATTAAATTTTTCTTCAAAAACTTTTCCGGCATTTAACATTGAACAATTATTTATGTATAAATAATAAACATTTGCTGATAAATATGGTAAATGCTTATTAATTAAATGATAAAAATCTTTATAAGATAAATGAGACAAGAAAATTTTTTCACGATATGAACTAATAGTTTTATTTATACGATTATTTAAATTTAATAAACTATCAAGAATATTCACTTGAGATAAATAACGACACATGAATAATAAAATTTCATCGGGTAAATCTTCAAAACAAGTTTGTTTTGACACGTCCTTATGTATTGTTGAAGACATCATTTGTTTTGAACATTAAATTAATAAACGTAAGTTATATATTATCAATAAAGTCATTTATGACCCATTTAAAGTAAAACAAATGAAGAAGATATGTCAGTAATTTCTTTCTTGCTGTTTTCATCTATGTAATACAAACATCCAACAAGTCTTCTCGTCGATAGATGACACTCATGAGTTGGAAATTTCATATTTCATGAATATAAAATACGTATTTGATTCATTAAATTTCTTTTTAATTTTGACTGTCATATGCATGAAAATATTGAGCAATTTTTCTTGTATTTATACTTGTCTTTGAAGAATACAGGATTATGCTAAAAGGGAAAGTAAAATAAAAATAAATAAAAGATATCTTTTTCAGTCACGAAATATATTCTATTCTTGGCTCATTTTCTTGTTGTTTTTCAGAGGTATGTTCAGATTTCCGAAAAAGAAAATTACAGAAATTTCCGAAGTTTCCATCAACTCGATAACTACATAGCAGAGCAAATAAAATTTTTTTGGAAATATTGGAAATTATAGAAATTTTAGAAATTTCGGAAATTACATGATTTTGGGAAATACTAAACAATTTAGAACACAAGTGATGGAAATTTCCGAAACTTCCAAAATTTCCTTTTTCGGAAGTTTGAACACTGCTGGTTTTTCAATAGTGATTTTGACTAGTGCTCAATATTTGTCGTTTTGAGAAAAGGTTATTTTTCTTCTTCTTTTTTCAAGATTATTTATATCATCGTGCTTAACTTTTTATTTTCCACTGGTTCCTGAAATAACCATTAATAGCGCGATTATAAAAACTAAACAATGCATAAAATTTCAAAGTTTCAAAGACATGCTTAGAGTAAACTTCACGAGCTATCGATTGGTAAAAGTTAACAAATCGTTTTGTCTTCCAAAATATTGGACATCAAAAATTTGACAATTTGGGGAGAATGAAAAAAAAATTAAAATTTTCTTACAACAAAATATTCTCTACCTTCAGGCAGTACAGGTCTTTGGAACTTGTTGTGTGATAGAGATTGATGAAGAGGCGCACTAGTGATTAATATAAGTTTAGAAATTCTACTATATTAAGAATAACGGTAATGTCTCTATTATAAATCTCATCACATGAGAAATTCTAATACTATTTCATTTGAATAAAATGTTTTCAGTAGTTATACAATGCCTGAAAGAAAAATAATAGTTGATTATTTAAAAACAATTGTTAAGAACACATGCGTTGTTTCAAAATTAGCTTTTATGTATTGATTTCTTTCATTTTCTATGGCTTCAATCCCATGAGAGATAAACTGCTTTTACTCATTCAATACAGTCGTGAAAGAAAAAAGAAGCAGGATTTCTCGTACCTTTCAATCTTCATTTCCTACCACTGAAATAACTATAACCATTCTATGCGAAGAGTAAGATACCAGATGGTTCTACCTGTATTATTAGCATATTAGAGAAGATAAAACTATTAGTAAGATTATTTTACGAGTGACTCTTCTGGAACCTCTGTGGTTATCAGCATTATTTTTCTCAGTATGAAGATAAAAAAAAGATATTCTTTGAACAATATTTATATTACATGCTTAACATTGCTTTTAAAAATAGTATCAATAAATAAGTATTTTTGTAATGAGGTTTGCATGTTTTTTCTTTTTGACGTTTAGATAATCGATTATCGTTAAAGAATCTTTGACACGCTATCTTTTGACAAGAACGATTTTTTATTAGTTTTCAAGATGAAAAATGAAAAGAAAAGTAAATAAAAATAAATTACACTTCGTCTTTTCTAAACAGTTTAAATTTGAATATATTTAATGGATGAGCAAGAGAACACACTTTAAATCAGTAAGTTCACGATTATAAATATAAATTTCATCAATGGCATTTGAATATGAACTGAGGGAAATTTCTTCAGTTTGACAATTTATTCCGAGACCACTACTACTGAGTAAAATACACATTGGCAAATTATTACTTGCAAATGACGAAACTGTTACTGAATTATACAGATCATCATTAAGATAAAACCGTAATCCATTTTTCGAATTGCATGTCTGAACAATATGAGTCCATGAATTGTTCGGAATAATAGGACCTATGATTGAAATAGTAGTTTCATTTCATGTTTGAACAACAATTTATCCATTTGAATTGAAACCTATCATAGGTAGACACCATACACCTAAACCAATGCTTACTGTTGACAATTAAAAAGGAGTACCTTTCGAAAACGATGGATTAATCTATATAGCAATTGAATATGCTTGATTTTGACCTAGAGTCCAATATTCACATGATTCGAAATCTGTACTTGATGAATCAAAACTAAGTGCTTGATTAACTCGATCAATAATCCATGAAAGACTACTATCACTTTGTTGATCATATGTAGCATTCATTGTATTAGATTCAACATCATTGTAGGTATTGTCAAATGGAGAATGTGCTATCAGACTTGTATCATTAAGAATTTTAATGCTGTTTTTGCTCAATTCGTTATTGTTAATTGATCCAATAGTTCATTCCAAATATTATTCATTGGAGTAACACATAACGTACCTATAGTAACATTTCCGGACAAATGTTGATAGAAATTGCCACTCAATGATGTTCCATCAAGTTTACCAACCAAATAAACATTTTTTTGATTCAGAACAAAATCATAAACAAAGGCCGCATGAAAACAAGCATTAGTAGATAAAGTTGTTGTTCCATTAAGATCATCTGTATAAAATTCTAAAAGTAAGTTTTTATAACATACAACATAATGAAAATATCGATTTAATGCAAGAGCTGCTTAACATTCATTTAAAATAATGTGATCACGAACGAGTACAATCGAATTAAAATAGAGCCACGTTTCTACTGTAAATGAACGATTAACTAAATTTATATGTGGTCCATTAATATATTGTGACATATTATTTTGAAGTAGAATACATTGATCAATATATTCAGTAGTAAATGTTAGTCCATTAACTGCTTCACCATCATATCCATTATCAGACACATCATTTATATTTTTTTCAAATGTTCACAAAGCAAATAGAGTTGCCGGAGGGATGGTATTTACATTAGTGCATGCATTCGAATAACTTGTATTATAATTTGATGGTACCCAAGCTGTAATAGGTACAGTTGTCGTTGTCATTGATGTTAATACTTAAAAAAGAAAAAGCTTAATATCTAGATAAGTTTTGTTTGTAATCAACGTACAGATAATAAAGAAATTGAATGATAATAGTATCCGAAGAAAACAGAACATTAGTCAAACAAAAGTAATGGGGTAACTTTTTTGAGATATAAAATTATATCTTCACCTTTCTGAAAAGATGTGGATATGACAGTGATGGTAGTACCCGCACTAACACTTTACACTCACACCTTCTCAGAAATGTGAAAGTATAATTTTATATCTTAAAACAGTTATCTCCATTATTTATAGAGCTTAAGGGAAGGTAAGAGTGTAATTTGTGCGTACAACAGTGTCTGGAACGTGTCCAATTTTTGTAACATGACCAGAGTCGAACTCTGATATCGACCACTTTTCTTTTTCTCTTGAGGAAATCAATTTCTTAATCCTTTTTTCTTTCTTTCATTTCGTAGTTGAAAACAAAGGATATATTCTTGATATTTCGCAGTTAAGAAAACACGATTATGTGATAGAATTTTTTTTTCTTGTTTGTCTTTCTTTTATGTATACAATATAAGATCTTTCGATCACTATTGAATAGACAGTGCACTCGGTATGCATCATTGTACTATGTCAGTAAATAAAAGATCATGCGATACATAACTTTTTGTTCTACTAAATCCTGTATAACTTCTGAGCGTACTTGTTGCTATTGACGAAATAATTGATGCTGTTGTATCAACTATTGAAAAGTAATAATGAAATAATTTGTATGTAACAAAAAAGAAAATCATAGTATGAAAAATTTATACTTGTTGTAGTTGTTTTACTGTTGGAAATTCCATAAAACAATCCCATTGGAAGAACGATAGAAAATGAGCATAAAAGGCATAGAAACATTGTATATGCAATTGTACATAGTCGAATTTCACAAATTTGTCGATCACTTCTATATGAAAAAAAAATGAAACATCTGACAAAGATTAACGATCGAAAACAATACAATCTGACCTAGCTGTGACAGTTGCTTTTGAAGGTTGATAGTGTCCATGTTGATCGATTTGTTTGTAATATTCTTGAATTAAATTGCATTTCAGATACTGATGCTGCAGGATGCTCTTTCATTAAGCTGTCCTATCAAGATATTGCTTGTGATCGCTCAATGATCTTATTAAAACGAGGAGAAATAACTTGTTATAATCCATTAGAAACATTTAAGTTTTCTATTGAAATGTTCGAATAAAAATGAATTAATTCTTATCATGATCAAAAACATTTAAATTTAATTCTAATTACTATTCGTACTGTTTTAGCTATCGATGCCTATTTTTCTCAATAAAGTTTCTATAGATACGAGGATTGATCTTCCACAGAAAGATGTTTGCTTTGATGATCAATCATTGATTAAAACGTATCTTTACCAAGTCAAAGGAAAAATAAAGAAATGCAAAGGACCTCTGAAAATTTCATATAAAAATCCATACTTGTTGTAGATATCAAAAAGGTTTCCTCTTCATTTCCATGCATGTTAAATTTGTATAGAATAAAAGCAATTGAGCGAGTATTTTAATTAGCCTATCTGTTGAATGTCTTAGTGATGTAATCGAAATCATGCTAGTTGATTGACCGGATTTAGCTTTCAGTCTGGCATATTTCATTATTTTATCATGTTTTCTTCTTATAAAATATGTTTACTGAAGAATTCTGTAAACTGTAGCCTGCTACTATTAAGAATGAAAATTAAAGCATATTCAAATACAGCTTTCACGATTGGATTAAAGTTTGTCATTAGTCGTGATCTCATCATTCAGTCTGTTATATAGACCATTTTTTTTAACAGAATGTTTCTATCATCTTTTCAGAAATGAAAAGCTTAATACCGATTAAACATGAATCTAGACATAAGAATCGGTTATAGTAAATATAATTTATGTTATACAACTTCGATTGTATAGATTTATCTGTTAAGTCAGTAGCTATTGTTCGTCGTCAACTTTTGAAAGTGTACAAATGCAATAAATGTCGTGTTTTGGGTTAGATTTAAACTATTGAAAGATAAATTAAAAACATTTACCTTTTTTAATGTATTATCCGAATATCATTGCTTATGATAACAATATTTTGGCTTCTTATCTATACAATTTGTAGCGTCAACTGTTCATTGTATGATCACTAGATGATGACGAATCAAGAACATGTGTTAATCAATCAATATACGAGGTTCCGCAATTTCACCCATAAGACTATTGCCAATAAGATTCTGGCCAATAAACGAAAGTACGCTGTACTTTTGCCAATCTTAGTATGAATTAGATATAGGTTTTGAAAAATTTCTATCGACTACATTGATAGATTATATTCGTCTATGTCATAGCCATAAATTTTGTAAGTTAATATTGTTTCGTAGCAACTGGGGAAGTTTACGCTACTTTCGTTATTTGCGATATTTTGGTCACCTGAATATAATTTCAATAAAATATTTACTTTCATTTATTAACAATTTTACTGACAGGCAATATGATAATTAACTCTTTGTAAATACTTTAACTTGAAAATTCGTAAATGAATATCAATAAAGATTTGTTTTTCAAAGCAGAGATTAAAAGAGTAACAAGAATTTTTCTGCTACATCTCAGAAATCAATTTCAAAATCTTCTTAAAATACATTTTGTTTTGTTTTTAAGAAATTATCAATAGTAACATTTATTTATTTATGATTGTAGGAAAAAAAAAGAAAACATATATATGTATCAGAAGAAAGAAGATAAATCATTAATGTTATCGGACGTAAGAGATTCTATCATCAGTGAAATATTGCATAGTTTTGACTAGAGATAAAAAGAAATGTTATTTTTTTAATGATCTGACAAGATAAATGAGAAGAACTATATATATATATATAAATATATCAATCGTTTTGAACAGAATTTTAATAAGGATCAATTGTATCAATTTGTTCGAGTAGTTTCGGCATCACCGGTTGTTGTCTAAATTTAATGAAAAAATTCCTTTACAATAAAAGACATATATACTACTTACTGTCCAATAGGGACTGACATAATAGGTGAAATAAAATGAGTATCATTATCAAGTTTATCTATATGAATTTCATTAATCTGTTGTTGTTGAGGTGTAATATTTTCTTTTTGTGAATAATCATCTTCCATTTTATCATCCATAATAACTGCAGCTACATTTGTTTCTACAATTGTTTTTCGTCGAGGACGATCAATAAATATTTCTGAATCCATTTTACATTCTTGTTCAAGTGTAAGAAATGATTCTTCATCATTTGTTGTTGTTGTTGTTGTTATTGCAATTGGCATTGGTTCACTAAGTAAAAGACATTCAAGTCCTTTTAACATGCCTTCATCAGTCATTGGTAGTACTGTTTCTGGTACTGATGGTAATGGTGCTGATATTTGACAACGTATTATAGTTGTATCATCATTCATAAAATCACTATTTGAATCATCACCACTTATTGTTGCAATTGTATTGCAACAAGTAACAAATGAATTTGGTGTTTGTTTACTCATTTGATCACGAAATATTTCTCTTGCTTGTTGTCCACAATCCATTGATGAATAAAATTTTGTTACAATATGATCAAATGGTGTTTTTTGTATTTGTTGATCATTATCATAACGATTAATATGTTTAGGTAAATGTTTTAAATGATCAAGTGTTTTATGTACTTGTTCAGTGCGTTCAATTGTTGTATTCATTTGTTCAAGTGCTAATTTAAGTTTAGCAAAATTTTCATCTGATAGTGAATGAGATGTAAGACGCTTTTCAAGACAAATATTAGCTGTTTGTATAAGGTCATTAAGAGTAACTGTTGTAGATGTTGATGATGATGTTTCACTAAATCTTATATATAATTGACTTATTCGATTTGAAACTAAAATATTACAATTTTGTAATAAATTTATTATTATTTTTTTAAAATAAAATGATTTACTATTTTCTTGTTTATTGACAATATCATGTACTTGTTGGCATATATTTGGTAATAAACCAATATCAACACCCATGGATGGTAATGATGTTGATAAACTATGTTTAATAAACCATTCTAATTTATTATATATATCTGAATTAATTCTTCTATGAAGATCTCGAACTAAATTTGAAAATATCTCAAATTGGTTTTCATCAATAATTTGTGACTCATCAAATGATCCTAAGAGAAACAATTAGAAAATAAAATAAAATAAAACAAAATTGGTAAATTACAATTTCAGACTAGATCTAAAAGCTCGTCTCATTAATCCTCACAAAAGTCTTATTTCTATGAACACTTGATACACTCTATAGTGCTTATCGGTATGCATTTTCATTAAAACTTCATGCTCAATAGTGTTGTGCGACTGGATTGGGAGCCAAGCATCAAAAACAAACTATTGGTTCGGATTTTGGGTATGATCTCATACCGGGAGCCGATCCAAAAATTAATATGATCTGATGTAGCAAAATATTTTCATTTTTTCAAAGAGCAAATTTATATTACAGCATAAGAATGAAGATCTGAGCAAATTATTCTACTTGAGAACAGGTCACACATGGAAAGCGATGTTATTTTACTAAAAAAAAATTCGATTTTAATGAAAAATCATCTACAAATGGCGATGAACCATATTATGAAGTAATTAAATACGTGAAGCGGAAAATGAATTATTAAAAAGGTAAACATGTAGTACCGTAATAAAAAGAGCATTCATGTATATATCCGCAATTATGACGTTTCGTATCAGCACTATATTTTATTCTAGGATCATCAGCAACAAGCAAATGTATACATAGCAAAAATGATTAGATTTTAAAAATAGAAAGACACCAAGTGAATCCTGAATCACTGACTTTTATATAGAATTTAAGATGATCCTATTTTTTGTTGCTATTGATGGAAGAAACCATTATATAAAAACAAAAGAGTTTTAAAACTGTACCGTGATTGTGAAAGCATCTATCGGATGTGGACTAGCTTCAGTTCGAATCCGATTGCGAAAAGTTACACTCATGTAGGACACTAGTTCTTAGAGTAGACATTCAATAAAACAGTCGAAACATTGACAACATTTATGAAAAAATATTGATTTGTTAAAAGTGAATCAGAAGGGAGCATCACTTGGTAGTTCTCTTAAGTACTCCGCTTTTTACGTGGTTACTTATTATACACAAGTAATAGTTATCTCAAAAGATGATACTATTTCTAATAGGATCAAAGCAGACTGCTGACTACTGTACTATCCTGCTGGATACTATTGCATCTTCTTAAGTATTATGGAGTGTAACAACTTTTTATAGAATTTCTAGTTTTTAAAGAACTTTAAACTCAAGTCGAAATTCATGTAATTCGATAAAAACTGAGCAATTAGAATAATTTTTTTGTTGTTTTTACCATCAATAATTTGAGTTTTTTCTTTAATTTTTTCTAAATAATTGATTAATTTATATATGCGTTCATCTAATTCATATTTTGTTTTTTCATATTCAATACGTTCACGTTTTTCATTAGCTATTTTACTAAAAAACATCATATAATGTCGTTGTGTATCAGCTTTAATCATACGAATTTGTCGTTTAAGACGTTCTTTTGTTAAATCAACATTTTGAAAATTTTCATTTGTTAAAAAACGTTCTTGAATATCAATTGGTTCTAAACGATGTATTAAACATAATTGAGATAAATAAAATACACAAATAAAATAACGTGATGAACATGATGGAACTGGAATTAATTGAGGCCATGGATATTGTTGATAACTTTCAGACTAAAAAATAAATAAAAATCCAGATTGTCTTATATTGTTAAATTTTAAAATATTTATTTACTAATAATTTAAAATGTTGTTTAACAATGCGATTGAATTCTTGTTGTTTATCAATAGCCATTGGTGGAAAACAATGTGTTGTATCACGTAGATATTGTGTTTGTTGTGCATCAGATAAATATGTTAAAAGAAGAAAATGTGTTACAAGACGAATAAGTTCAGTTGAATTTGATAATTCATCTATTGATATTTGTTGTTGTTGTTGTCCAGTACGATAGCGACAAAATATTGGTGAACATTCAATACCAAGTAAAAGTAAATTTGAATAAAGAAAACGTATTGTTAAAGAATTTTCATCAAGACCATATGTATCCCATAAAGTACCATTGTTTGATTGAAGAATTTGTGTAGCTGGTGAACGACGTGGTGATGCTTTTGGTGTACTAAATCGTACAAGACCACGTTGATGAGATGTTGGAGTTTGTTGTGGACGAATACGATTACGATTTGGTGTTGGTAATGGTGGACGTTGCATTTTATTTGACTTTCTAAATTCTTATCTAAGCAATGAAAAAGAATAACGAGTACAAATGGACGGAGAACAAGTACTTCCGTAAAATACCAAAATAGCAAAACAAACCAATGATTGGTTGGATAAAGCAAATAGCTCGGTCTTCTTATGTTATTATTTTCTCTTTTCTATAATCATTTTTTCAAGTATAGAAAAAAAAACGCAGCCTATGATGACGATAGAACGCGGAGAAATGCTGGCTTCAGCAGAAGTCAATTCCGAACCATCAGAGGATATGTAAGTTTTAAAAGAATATCTAATCATATAATTGCACTAATTAATTGATTTTACAAAAAGAAATAGTTGACTCTCAATTAACAAAGATCACATGAGAATTATTTGTGAAAATTGAAAAACAAAAAATTTTTTACTTTAGTTCTAATCTAACTATTTTCATGATGCATGTTGTTATTAATAGGAGAATATTTTATCATTTAACAGAATGCATCGGTAGAATTAAACAATTTTTGTGACCGATTTATTCAGGATCAATTGTTTCTTTTTTTGGATATTTTTGCTTTTTGCACTTAAAAACTTGGTGATTGTTCATAATTATATTTATTTCCAGCGTTCTCCTCCCGCGAACTTCATGTAAGTTTTTCATAGATAAGATATATATATATATATATTGTGGCTTCTTTGATTGTCCTTTATCTTATATGGTTCTTTGTTGTGATTTGTTGTTGCATGTTTATCGTTTTGTTTGACACGATTCTGAGAAAAAAAAACGAATTAAATTATATATATTATGTATATTTTATTTTTTCTTTATTAATTTTAGTAATCACACATTCAAGAAGTATAGAACGTGTGGATAGTGAGGATAGTAAACAGAAAGGTTTGGTAGCTGTCTATTTTCTTCTATTCTTTAACTTATTTGTTTGGAATAGCTGCTCCTTCAGCATATTCAATCGAAGAAATTACTGCTCGTCGTCGTGGTAAAAGAGTTGAAGATGAAAAATTACCAAAGAGAGTTCGGTATGAACAGAATGACAAATATTTGTAATTTATATCATTATTATCTTGATTTTTCTTTGAAGGAGTTTCTACAAAAAACAAGACAAACTTATTTCGACATTGGAACGTGCACATCGTCTTAATTCGAATAAAGATAGTGATAATGAAGCTGAAGAAGGAGAAGGAGAAGAAGAAGGTAAAAAAAGCAATACAAAATCTATAGACGAGCCAAAACGAAGACGAAAACGTATTAGTCTTTATACAAACATATCATTATTAGTCAATATCGTAAGTATCAATATAGAAACAACTTGATTATTTATCTTGATCAATAGAAACAAATAAACAAATTAGGAAAAATATTTTCAAAAGATACGTCATACAGTAAAATATGTTTATTTTGAATTCAAAAAGTTTGATCATAAATAATTTACTGCTTTTTTTTCTTTTTATTAACTTTTATTTCGCTTGGAAAAGTCAATATCAATTAATCATTTGAGTTTTTTTTGAGTCATTAAATGAATACGAAATTTTCTAATCTATTCAATGAAATTGTAACATCTTAATATCTTGTGATATTTTAGTTTCTTCTAATAGTAAAAGTTATCGCTGCATTTATTTCACATTCATTATCAGTTATTTCATCAGTTGTCGACAGTGGTGTTGATCTAGCATCAAGTGTTATTCTTTTATGGGCTACACGTGCGATTAAACGACGTGATCCATTTATGTATCCACAAGGTAAAAGATAAAAAGATAATTTTCTTTTAATAACTCTCTGTAAACTAATTTGATTAGGTCGAACACGTCTCGAACCAATATCTATTGTTGTTCTTTCGGTAATCATGTGTTCGGCAAGTGTTCAAGTGATATCAGAATCATTACAAACAACTGTTAATGATATTAAAATGCTTCGAAAATATCCATCAAATAGTTCAGAATATGTACATCCAATCAATATGACAACAATACCTGTGATTATCATGGGTGCAACTATAGGTAATTCAATTCTTTTTTTTTCAGTGAAAGTTTGTCTGTTTAACAGATCATATTAACTTATTTTTAGTACTCAAATTGTTGCTTTTCATATTGTGTTCTCGTGAAACTAGTGAAACGTTAAACGCTTTAGCACAAGATCATCGAAATGATGTTTTTTCAAATTCTATTGCACTTATTTGTGGTATTTTTGGTAGGATATATTTTTTTATAAAAAAAGCTTAATTTAATAAAATTTTTCTTCTCAAGGTTTTCTTGCAAGAAAAAATCCAGTGCGATTTCCAGCATCTTTAGTATTAACCGATTCGATTGGTGCTATTGTCATTTCAATATATATTTTAATAACTTGGGTTCGTCAAGCAAATCGTAAGTTTGAGTTTATTATCGTATAAATCATTAATCGTTGTACTTATATAGATCAAATAAAACGTTTAACTGGACACACAGCAAATCCTGAATTTCTTCAACAAATAACATGGATTGCATTTAATCATTCATCGTTAATTTTAAAAATTGATACAGTTCGAGCTTTTCATTTTGGCACAAATTGTCTTGTCGAAGTTTGTTATTCAATATGATGATGATGTTTTTTTTTATTCTACTTTTTTTTAGGTAGACATTGTTCTTCCGGAAGATATGTCACTCAAAGAAGCACATGATATTGGTGAAGAATTACAAAAGAAAATTGAAAGCATTCCTGAAGTTGAACGAGTATTTAAAAAAACTTTTTTTTTGGCTTTTTTTTTAATTAAAAAAACATATCTTTTTTTTTATGTAGGCCTTTGTTCATCTTGATTATGAATGTAATCATAAAGCCAGCGATGAACATAAAGTTGTTTAAAAAAATAATCAATGTTATGCCTTTTCAAAGTTATACATAGATATATATTTGCTTGCATCGTTTTATCCCTGCTTTTTCTGTTATTTAACTGTTTGCATAATCAAATCTGTATAACTTTTTTCCATTTAAATATTTTCTTTCGAGTAATATTTCGTCAAAAGTTTAATTGTAATGAAAACAATTTGTCTCGGTGGCTAGATTATTTTTTGACAAAATAAAAACAAATAATTTGATTCTAGGATATGATTATTTTCATTATGAATGAGAATAAGTCAATCATACAAGGTTAAGTATTCGATTCAAATGAACTTTAAATGGTTAACATAGTAATAATTGTCTTCTTAAGAGAACATCAAGTTTTCTTCTGACACTTCACGGTATTTAAGAGAAATGACGTAACTATCAATATTCTCTGTAGTATAGCTTTTATTTGTAAGCAACATTTTTCTTGTCAATCATTACGTCAAATATAAATTTCTTTTCTCTAAACGTAAAAGTTACTATTGATATAAGAACGAAGTTATTTATTCATCAAAATGAACATGACCAGTTTGTTTGATGAGTAGTGTGTGATGGATGACTTAACGAAGTGAAAATTTTCTTTGCAGATATCTGAATAAAACGAAAACCGAATCGATAAATAAGGAAGCTTAAGCACAGATATCTATGCACGAGAACGATAAGCACCGGATAGATAAGTACGAGATAAATCCAATATGAGATCTTTCAGCATCGAGAAGATAAGCAGATCAAAAACATCGAGGTAGATATGAAGTCTGCTGAAACATTATCAAATGACTGTTGATAAAAAAATGTTTTCTTATGTACTTGTAATAATGATTAATTGTTTTGTTTCTATTCATCAAAATTTCTAATTACACGAAAGTTAAACCTATTCTACTTGCTTATTCAAATTTTAATATTTGATTTCAGAACATATATATTTAAAAGATCAAAACCGAGGAGATTCTGAACGAAATAATTGAAAAATAGGTCGAATCGACTCTGAAGTCGAATGACAACTTTCTTATTTGTTGCAATATCTTGTACATTCATTGACCTTCCAATGGACTTTAAATTTACGTTGTTTTTTCTTTACATGCTTCACTTTTCAGTGCTGGAAATTCACGTGTTTAAGTAGCCGTATTTAAGCTTCCATGCTTAAGTATCGGTGCTCATCGTTCACTAATCTAAATAAAGTAAATATTACATTGAAAAATACTTTACGTGATATTCAATCATGCATGGATAGATAGTTGGATTAAATAAATTTGTTCAATGATCATTGTTAATAGGGCTCGAACAGTCCTAAGTTCAGTGCCAACGAATGAAAGAATTATTCAAATAGATTAAATCCTACCATAAGACATATTTAAATAATTCTTTTGGTCGTAACTGAACTGTTCGAAAACATTTTTTTCTGTTTTCGAGATATCTTTTCAGTAACAGAAAAGAGATTTTTTTAAGATCTGACAGTGCCATTCCGAAAAAAGAAAGCAAGTTTTCTAACTTGTAAATTTTTTTCTCAAAAATAGAACAAATATTGTCAGGATGGATCATTTCAGAGGAGAGAACGTTTTCAACAATGTCTCAAAATAGAACTTGACGATCTCTAGTTATTAAGAAAAGTACATGTGAAGTGAGATTCATTTGAATAAATGATTATGACATCGTACAATCTCTATAATGACATCTTAGAAATAAAGAATTAAATAATATTTTTTTTTTGATTGTGACACGTACTTTCTATTATACCAGAAAGTTGTTATATTAATCAACCAGCTCTCTACTGCAGTCTTTTATTAGCATGATGATAAAAACATAATTAATAGATTCTGTTTAAAAAATATTGTGTAAAAAAGTGCTGTGATAGATGGTCAAATCGTAATATGCTCAAAAATTATAAATTAGCATTGTTAAATGCTTTTTATCTTTGACAAGTTATAGATAAACTAGAAGGTGAGAATATGGTTATAATTTTTAAAAAAAGTTGGATAACTGGAATATGGCCATAATAACAAAGAACATGAAGAATAAAAAATATTTCTCTGATTAGAATTAGATTTTATCATTCTGATCCATATGCAAATTGAAATTAGATAATGAACAAGAGCAGCTGACACTTTAGTCGAGTACTCTTCTATGAGCATCATGTTCTATTCCGTAGAAACGATTCTTTATGAAAAGAATACTATAATATTGAATTACTTAGGGCGTACCAAAAATTCGTGTCCCGCCATTTAAAGGGCCTTGTCGGATGGGGTACATCGGTTCAGAAATAAGAAACAAATATATCATATTGTAGACCTTTTCGAGCCGCATCGAATGGTATATAGTAAATCCTGTTTTCATAGAACTTTGAAGGACCTAGAGTCAATTTACTGATAGATGACTACACATTCACACCCATCATTATTTACACCCGTACCTGAGGACCATAAGTTAATGTTTATTATGGTTCTTGATATTAATTGAAAGCATATGTAAAATATTGTTTCTCGCATGCTACTTTGTAGAGTTTTTGATGGGCTACAACTTCATATACGCACTATCTCCGATCATCTTGTGAATTCGGACGTGAGTATGAATGTGTAGTCCGTCCATCAATAAATTGACTCTAGGTCGTTCAAAGTTCTAAGAAAACAGAATTTACTATATACCATTCGATGCGGCTCAAAAAGCTCTAAAACATGATATATTTGTTTCTTATTTCTAAACCAGTTCACTCTATCCGACAAGGTCCTTTAAATGACGGGACACGAACTTTTGGTACGCCCTAAGTATTCTTCCAGTAACAATTGTAAGTATTGGGAAACATTCAATACAATATGATGGTATTTTCGATAAATTTGACTGTACATTCGAATCAGTCATATGTAGCATTCTATTTCTTTTTAGTTCGAATAAAATTGCTCTTGAAATGTAGAAAACTAATTGTATCAAATACTTTTAAATCGACAGAAATATTAATTATATATATATCGAAAGAAATCATATTCATTTCTAAAAAGAAATTCAATATTACTGACGACCAAAAGTTGTCTGACTGAAACAGTATGTGAAATGAAATGTGATATATTACATATATAATGTTATCTAAAGAATGACTTGCTGTTAGCGTCATCTGTCAGCTGTTTGTTTTATTTTGTGAAAAAAATAGTTCAAATAAAAGAATAAACATGGTTATAATAATATATCAATGAATATAATCGTTGAACTATGTACTATAAAGTATCAATTACGAAACAAAGAAAAAACTCTTTTTAATATTTCTTATTGAAGCATCTATGAAATGACTCATTGTGTATCAGACATTGATTGTGTACATAAGTATATGTCTGTATGTTTATTTGATTGTAGGATCAGCTAGTATGATCCTATTTCTAACAAATTATTCGAAATTATATTTTTCTTTTTCTCTTCGAGATTATATTAACGAATATTTATAATAATGGCGGGAGAGTATGATACAGCAATTACAGTGTTTTCACCAGATGGACGTCTTTTTCAAGTCGAATATGCACAGGAAGCTGTCAAGAAGGGATCAACTGCTGTTGGTGTACGTGGCAAAAATATTGTTGTTTTAGGAGTTGAAAAGAAAGCTGTTGCTGTTTTACAAGAAGATCGGTAAGATTACCTAGTCGTGTCAACTTTTCTTTTTCTTTTCTAAAACTTATTTATCGATGTTTCAGTACGGTTCGTAAAATTTGTGTACTTGATGATCATGTTGCTATGGCATTTGCGGGTCTTACAGCTGATGCTCGTGTTTTAATGCATCGCGCTCGTATTGAATGTCAATCTCATCGACTTAATGTTGAAGATCCAGTAACAATTGAATATATAACTCGTTATATTGCTGATTTACAACAAAAATATACACAAGGTCGTGGTCGTCGTCCATTTGGTTTATCAACATTAATTGTTGGTTTTGATTATGATGGTACACCACGTCTCTATTCAACAGATCCAAGTGGTACTTATCATGAATGGAAAGCAAATGCAATTGGTCGACAAGCAAAAACTGTTCGTGAATATTTAGAAAAATCTTATACGGAAACAACATATGAATCAACACATGAATCCATTAAATTATGTATTCGAGCTCTACTTGAAGTTGTACAAAGTGGATCGAAAAATGTTGAAATTGCTGTTATGATACGACATAAACCATTAAAAACACTTAGTCATGAAGAAGTCGAAAAATATATTGCTGAAATTGAAAAAGAAAATGAAATTGAAGCTGAAAAGAAAAAACAAGCTAAACAAATAGGTAGTACAACTACAACACAACCAACATTAACAACACAAACGTCAAAAAAAGAATAGAAAAAAAAAATAAATAAAAATTAAACAAGGCCGAACATCGTGGTGAACAAACTTTTCTTCTTAGACACTTTCTTCTTCTTTTTTTTTTTTTATTACAATTACTGTTGATTCTGTTGTTCTCTCATTCCTATTAAACACACACACACATATAGACAAGAGACACAAGGCTTATGAGTAAAAACTTCTTCATTTCTAGATTATTATTATCGCTCGCGTGTTCGTCGAACAGACATTAAGAATACCAAGTAGGTTGAATAATTCAAGTTTATTTTTCTAAGTTGTACTGATCTCTAATTTATTCATCTTAAAATAAAAATATTATTCATTGTTGTCATACTAAAATTTGATTAATAAATTTTATTTAGAAAAAGAAATAGAATTTCGAACATACTTTCAACTGCTTTTTTTTGTCTAATCTAATTTTTATTATATTATTAAACTTATAAATGAATATTAATTTTTTTATTCATTTGCAAAAAAAAAAATTTTTCGATGGCGTTTGTTTAAGATTTTTACTCTTTCGGTTCTCTACTGAAAGTCCGTCGAATCTAAGTCTGAAAATTTTGAACTCGACATGCTCTACCCCCACTCCAAAATTGATTTTCGATACAGTATATGGCGTTTTCATGAAATTTTCGACTAATGAAAATATATTATTAAAACATTTTCAAGGAATTAAATCTTACTGCGCAAGAAATGTTTAGAAGCCATAGTGCAAAAAAGGGTTGTCATGCGTGTAAATGCTTTTTTTTCAATTGACTTTAAGCTACTCTTAATATCTTCGACAATGTCTTCTAGAAAATCTGTGATTGCTTTGATATTGAGGACCGAATACAAATTTCTCTTCGCTCATTCGAAAGAGAATATATCTATCTATTGAAAAGAAATTTTTTCGGAATTCGATAATTTATGTAAAAACTGATTTCAAGAACGTTTTTATATATTTAACTGAAAAATTTTCTGACGTGAGCATCAAATATGGTTATATAACGTATCAATTAAAAATCCAACTCGAGTCTTATTGAATATGCTTATCTCAAAAAAGTATTTTGGGATTTTTTGTAGGAGGAAGCCTCAAATATGTGTCATAACATAGTTAAGATTTTATATTAAATAACAATTTCTCTAGTTTTCTGTTATATTTTAGGATAGTTCATCTATCATCATGCCTCTATTAGATGCCAATGCTATTGCTCTTCTTCATACACTTCTAACGACAAATTCACTTTCACGTCTTTCGACATTATGTGCATCATTACAAGCGCCTGTTGAACATATTTTATCAATTGTTGCTGCTCATCCATTTGTTTTTGCACGTCTTCGTGCAACTGATACACCTGGTGATGATCGTATTGCAGTTGTACTTGATCTAACCAATTGTACGTTCTATGCACGTCCACCAAATGGTTGTACGAAAGATATTGCTTGTCCCTATTTACATCTATGTCCATCGGTTGTCTTACCTAATCGACGTTGTCAACGACCACATGATTGTCCATTATCACATTCACTTGATACGGAACATAATCGACGTGTTATTATTGAACGTGGTTTAGAAAACTTACCACAAAAAACTCTTATTATGCTTATTTTGGCTTCAGCTGATCCAAGTAAAACAGTAAGACGAAGAAATCTATTTTTATAAAGCATAACATCAATGTTCTTTTGCTTTTTTTGTTTTGTTTATTATTAGTTTGCGGTTTGTCATCATAAACCAAAACCATGCCGAGAAGCAAATTGTGATGATTTACATCTATGTTATTTTTATATGTGTTCACCTCATTTATGCAAATATGGTGATTGTAAAGCTGGACATTCATTAATGACACAACGTAATATTGATTATTTGGAACGTCGTGGTCTTGCACATATTGAACCTATAGATGTTATTGCACTTTTTCGTATTGTTGATGAAAATAAGTAAAATATATTCATTGAATTATAAATGATATTTTATTAAGATGAAATTTTCTTTTTTTTTATTTAGAAAACGTTCTCATTTTTATCGATATCAATTAGAACAGCAACAACAACAACAACAACAACAACAACAGCAGGCACAACCAATGATGATTATGACATTAATGATGGATGAACATGGTCATCAGCAACAACAACCAATGATAATGTTTTGAAAATTATCTCTTCTCTTTTTTTCTTGGTTTTTTTTTCTTTGACAAAGATTCAAGTGAGAATGAATGTTTGACAACTCGTTTGTTTTTTTTTTTGTTTGTTTTGTTAGTTTTCTTTTTTTCCGTTATCTGCTATGTTTTGGTCACTTGTGTGATGTTGTTTTTTTTTTCTGTTTTCTTTTCGCTTCTCTGTCTTTTTCTCAGGTGATCTATATCCAGTGCAATACTCCCAGTAATAAGAACAGAAGAAAAGGATTGACTTATGCATTGCATGTAGTTTATTTCACACTTATTTTTTATCGTGTTTTAGTTTTTTTCATTAAAAAACCAAAACACTACGGTTTGTTTGTTTTGTTTTTTGTCATATGTAATAACACAAAGACAAAAAAAAAGAAATCGAACATTGATTAAAAGACATTCATGAAATTCTAAAAAAAAAGTTATTTTATTTCTCTCCCAAAAAAAAAAAAGATCACGTTGAGAAGCAAAGTAAACTTTAGTAGATAATATATTGTTATTATTTCTTTTCGTTTTTCCAGAAATTTCATTAGTAAAAATAGTCATGGATGATGTAATACGTCTTATTACTCATTTACTTAATACAAAATATTCAATTGATAGAATAGATACAATTACTGATCAGTTACAAATTTCAAAAGATTATCTTTTACAATTAATACATAATGATTCTTATGAAGATTATTTTCAACTATTACAAACATCAAATAATCGTAATCAAGGATCAGAAAAACTAGCTCTTACATTAGATGTAAGTATGAGAAAAAACAAAACAAAAGAAAAGAAAAAACTAAATGTTTTCTTTTTTTCTTGTTGAATTTAGCTCTTTTGCTGTACACATTATGCACAACAGTGTAAAAATGAATCATGTCCATTTTTACATTTATGTCCTTATAATGTAAGACCAATGCATACAAAATGTACCAATAAAACTTGTCCATATGATCATGATATTCTAAAAAGTATTCATAATCGAAAAATTATTGATGCTCGTGGTTTATCTTTTATACCAACACGTATTCTACATGAATTAACTCGAGCAAGTGCTGATCCACATCGATCGGTAAAAAAGAAAGTTATTAACATAATCATATGTATCATTTATTTATTTGATTCATGTAGTTTTGGGTGTGTACTGATCATGGAAAGAAAGGCGGTTGTTCAAGAAAATCTAATTGTGAAAAATTACATTATTGTTATTATGCTTTAACTGATGCTTGTACAAAACCACATTGTCAACATGTAATTAATGATGCTTGTCTTGCATATTTTCGACAGAAAGAGTTAATTGAACAAGAACAAGAAGATATTTTAGATGCTTTTAGAAAAGTTCTTCAACAACGGTATGTTATTTTGTAGAGTTCACATATATTTTTGAAGAAAATAGTGAATGAAAGTTTAAATCGACATTTTATTGATTCTCCGTCCTTGAGCCTTAGCAACCGTGAGTAGAGAGAGAAAAGCTAACAGTCATTGAGTACATTTTTACAGGAACCTGGGACAACCGGTACCCTTTTTTCTTTTGGAGAAGTGATTTAAAACTTTAGAAGGAGAACATCTATTTGTGGAAGCACAGACATACAGAACTTGGTATAATAAGCACAAACTTTGGGAACGGCGCTATCCTGTCGGTCTCCATGCTAGATAAAATACTGTTAGTAACGCAAAAAGACGTTGAATTGCATTAACGACCAGACTTCGACTGTTCTAGGATATTTACAAGTCTTCCTCGAGTTTTGAATGGATGCAATACATATGTGAAAGTTCGATATAGTACAATTTCTTATTTTTTGCGCAGATAAAAATTAATATTCAAAATGCCAAGGATGATGAATAGCGATGCACCGATTTTCTACAAGTCATCATATAACCAGCATAAAATAACATACAATAATCAGGTTATAAATTAATATCAGTGTTTCTGAGTTTATCGTGATACAAAAAAAGGAAAATAACGAGCGAATAGCAACAAGGCAAATCAAAAAATAGAACGCCATTAGAAGAAAAGAAAAAATTTCCGTTTGGAAAGCAGAAGTAAATAGATAGATCATTTCTCTGGGAATCGATTATCATTGGAAAACAACTGTAGTCTGTCAGAGATTTTTTCCTTAATGTGTTTTGTATTAGTATAATGAGGTTAACAAATACATGAGTTTCATATTTTAGCCTCAAAGGATCTGTCTTGACAAGCTCTTAAATTAAAATAATTTTTATTTCGTAGAAAACCAGATTATATTAATAAAGTCAATATATCTAATCAATCATCTTCAACTTCAAAATTTTTAATTTCAAATGAAAATCAACGGTACGTTATATAAAATTAATTCAGCATGTCTAATATAATTTCTGAAAATCAAGATTTATTAAATTTTATGAGATCATTTGTTTTTATATTTTAATTTCAAAATTATTTTCTCTTAATATTTTTATTTACTATTTATCTTACGAAGAAAGCTCCCTAATTGATTCAGACTGTTTTCAGTAATATTTTGTCTAGATGTTGGGAACATTATTCAAAGAAGGTTTGAGCTGATGAAGTTACCTTCGATGCTTATAACCACTATACTCATTTTCTCAACTAGCATACAGTGTATACAGAATTTCAATTCGAAACTTTGCTCGTATACAGTTCTTGTGGTCATTGAAACATTTAGAATGTTTCAATGGTCATGAGAACTATGCATGAGCAAAATTTTGGATTGAAATTCTATTGTTTAACTTTTCTGTATACACTCTTAGAATTTTTTTTGTTGGAAAAATGTCTCAAGCATATGGACCAAATATAAGTGAAAACGGCATGTATCATTTTGAGACCTTCCCTCGCTAGATCAAGATTAATTTTTTCTATAAAGTTCTGATTTTCATAATAATTGAAATATCATCCTATACTTCAAAATGAAGATTAATTATAAAACTCAACATCTCATTTAAATCCTCTACTGAGTTTTAGTATTAATGATAGAAACATTTTCTTTTGGATATTGTTTTATGATTCAACTAGACACTTATTTGATTTAAGACTTGAATTACTTTTGAAAGAAATTCTTTTATACAAAAAAGAGCTATAGATGAAATTTAATAATATGCTAATTCTTTTTTTTAGTAAATTAACAACTAATAAAAAACGCTGTACATCGTCTTCTTCAAAGCGTTCAACACCAATGGCGTTAGCAAGAGAATTATCATCTTATGATGACGTATTCTCATCTAAATCTGACACTCCATTACCATCGCCATTACCTGAACATGATCAAGATATTCTTCTATTAGGTTTTTATGATAAAAATGAGTACGAAGATGCTGAACGTTATTTATCCGATGAAATTGGATGTCCAATTAAATTATTAATATCTAAAAATATCTTATCAGAAAATAAAGAAAAACAAAGGTATTTTCATATTTTTTTCCAAATTTTTAATTAAAGACTTTTTCTTTTATGTAGTTCAAATATTCGTGCAAAGCCTATTTATTATTATTGTCCAACTAAAAATCCAGCGGATATTTTTCAGTTACTTCGTTGGCAAAATGAAGACAAAGAATCAGCTAAACCATTGATTGTCTATGCCAGTGTACGCGATGCACATGATGCAGCTGAACAAAATTTTGAAAATAATCAATTCTGTATATTTCGCGTACATCTTTTTCATTCCGGTGTTATTAATGGAAATTTATTACCCGAAAATCGTCTTCAATTAAGTGATCCATTAACTATGTGTTTTGATCGTATGTGGGTTTATGTATACAATCTTTAGTGACAATGTTTAGATTAGTTAATATATTTTTGTTTATTTTTTTGTTCCAAGGCTGGAATGATTTATTTTTATTCCTATTCGAGCTTAAAAATACGTGATAAAGCTCTAATTCATTCTGAGGATTATGTGCATATGTTCTTTTTTTTTTCGTATTATTTTATTTTACTTTTTCTTTCGTCTTGTATAAGTTTTTCTTGTCATTGCATGTTGGTCAACTTATGACAGAACAAATTTTTTTAATCTCGAAAGAAAAAAAACAGCGAATGGATGGGATAACAAAAAAGAAGAAATATAATTCTTTTGAAATTACAACTGTGATAAAATTAATATGAAAGTGATAAATTATATTAGTTGAATATTTGTGCTAAAAGAACTCGAACAGAATTATTTATGTGCAAAGCATTGTCTACTACAAATAAAATCTAACAAGTATAACAATTATAATCTTGTTTTTCTTTTGACGATAGAATTAGAGACCAGCATTGAAGTCATTTCATCTCATGGGTGTAGTTCTCGAAGAGATACCAATCGAATTTCAAAAACATATTTGTTTGTACATTGAATATCAATGAATACAACTTAATATACAAAAAACCTCTTGTATGAAATTTGATTTATGTGTAAGACATTTAGTTGTCTCCGATCAGGTCTCTAGATAATATGTGATTTTCTTATCGAGATTATTCTAAAACAAATAATTGAAAAAGTTCAGATTTACTGAAAGATGAGTCAATAGGCAAAGGAAAAAAAATCGTATAATCCAGAAATTTAATAGTACGTTTAATTCAAAACTTCGATGTGCAACCGATCATCTGTAAAATTGTTTCATCATTTCACATAATAAATAATAAAACATTATTTTTTGAAAATTATACAATTTCGAAAGTTTTCAAGTCTATTCAATATTGATATGAACTTTTAGTACAAAAATTCTCATATGTTATTGTGAAATATTTCTTTTCTTTTTCTGATTTTATTTACGCCTACGAAAAATGCTTAATAGCATGTCACGATAATATGGACGTGACAAAGACAAATAAATCCTTATGTTAGTTTTAATGACAATCTTTTATAATTGTTAACTTTATCTGCTAGTGTAATTAGTGGTATGTAAGTCTTAGTTAGCAATCAGGAGTGTAACTGATGTGGTGAGCGTGGGGCAGAGCTGGTCAGTTTCAAGATTTTCAAACTCGATCGAAGCGTCCTTTCATACTCTCAATGAAACTTTCTAATCGAAATCGGATAGTCGCTTCGAAGATTTGAGATACTTTTTTTGTTCCAGTCTTTTGTATTCAGTAACTAATGCATCCTACACATTTCTCAGACTTCAAAAACCTCTAAAATTTTCGAAGTTGCACTTGATCAGGTTCGAGACCAAGTCAACTGGTTTAGAGTGGAGCATGATCTTTTCTGCTTCTAAAATTCGATCAAATGACATTCCTCTAGTTTTATGTTAACTACGCAGAACCTTTTCTATTGAAATTCAACCATTCTACGCCTTTTCCACGTCTCCAGTTGTGAATTACACATCCGTCAGCAATTTCATATATTATTTGATATCATTCGTTAAATAATTGCTCGAGTAATACTAATTATGTGATTCAAAAAAGCAATTCATTAATATGAACATTTATCTTATATCGAATAAATGAACATTTATGAGTACTCAACAAAGTCATAATAAATAAATAATCGGCAATATTAAATTCATTCATAAAAGAACGAAATGATATACAAGAGTATAGATCTGTATCAAAATGAAAGATGTGAAAATGTATATGATGGTTAGGATTAGATGCAGTATCAATTTCATATAATTACTTAAAAGTAGTCTATGTTTATAATGAAACTAATTAAAAGACAATATTGACGCTTTCGTAATAAATGCATAAATTGAAATTGAAAGTAAAAGATTTTTTTTCAACAAATATATAAATATAAAACAATTAAATTCTCACTTTTCAAAATTATACATGCTAATATTTATTTATGACATTTGTGTAGCCTTGATTGTAGGTTGTTTCAAATATAGATGCATATTTTTTATTATAAATAGAACAGGAATGATATATAAAAGGAGTGCTTTGCTAAATAAAAATACTCCTTATTATTATTCGATTGATTAGACCCTCGATTTTTTGACATGTGTATATATTAATAAAATAATCAAAGCTGAATCACATTTATTGAAGACTAATATTTATCTTTTAAACCTTTTAGTTGCTTTATTTGAGTCTTAAAATTTGAAGGTATCTTTGAATGAATTCATATTTCTATTTGAACTGTTCTTCAATCGATTGCTAAAATTTTCATGTCATTCTTAGGTAGCTTGAATTATGATTAATTTGTTAAAAAGTAATGTATAAAAGGAAAAAAATCTATCGATTTATTTACTGATAATTGACACATAGAGTAAAAATAATATTGCAGCTCTTAGACAATGCTGTTTTCTTCAGAAGAACTGCAATAAACAAAAAAAAACAACACTTTCTTTTAAAAGCTATTTATAGATTCACGCCTATTTTTTCGTATAATCAATTGGAAATTTATTACTTTTTTTACGAATATTTTGTTTAAGAAAATTATATTTTCGAGTCAAAGATCTGACAAATATGTCGAGATTTTTCTTTTGAGATGCAACAATATAGATGTTGATTTCTTGCATAAAACCTTTATTGGACTCAGCACATGTTACGGCCTATAAGCCAATCCGTGTATTTGTCATTTTTTATGACTTTATAGATAACGATATATTCTTTTTTACAAAACAAAATCAGACAGAAACATTCGTCTTATGATTATTATTTTTTCGATATTACGTTAAGCCTCATCTCACAATCACAAGTAATTTTTATCGTCCTCCCTGGAAGCGTCAATTGCGTCGTTTCTATTTTTAGATGAAACTGCGTTGTTTATTCTAAGATAATTCTCTCTTCACACTTCTAACTTTCGTGATGATAGATAAAAAAAAAGGATTCATTTTCAGTCATTTTCTTTTATCTTATCACCGTGAATTCCTATATGTAATAACATCTATATAATAATCGTATAACTATATTATTGAGACATAATAGAATAGTAGCGCCCTCTGGTCATAAAAAAAAATAACATATTCTT